GGGCCCCCCCCCCCCCCCGGCTGCTTGTTCCGGTTCCCTGGGCCGTCTATTCTGGTTCCTGGGCTGCCTGTTCTGGTTCCCCTAGTGGCCGCCCGCTCCTGCCCCCTTGGCCGCCTTTTCCGATTTCTTGTGTGGCTCTTCGAGTGCCGTTGCTGGAATAATTGTTGGACTTCCATTTTTCCTTACCTAATTGGTTTAATTGGGGATGGTTTGGGCTATTTGGCTGCCCCCTTTTCTCCTATAAATTTTAGGTGTTTTGTAAGCAAAAAGAGAGGTTATAATGAGATTTTTGGAATACAAAACCCGAGGGTTTTTTCCTTCTTTGGAAAAGCTTACGAGCTTGTTCCGTTCTTCTTCTTCCTTCTTGGGAAAGCTTGCGAGCTTGTACTCTCCTTCGTCTCGGCTTCTTACCTCTTTCTTCTCTCCGCAAGTTCAACGTCATATGTATCTTTCTTCTCAAGCGATGGAATGCAAGTTTAGGTGTTATTTCATGTTCTAAATGTCCTCGTTATATATCGTTTTGTGTTATAAAATTGTACTTTTCTTATTTTCTAGGAAGTCTTTTAGTATGCTTGCAAAAATTCGGGTCTTCCCTTTTTTTTTTTCTTGCATCAGGATTTTTCTAAGAATTCTAAAGCTCTCTCTAGATGTCAACGGATCAAAAATAATAATAATTAAACTAACATCTTTATATAGAGATTGAGTTCAGGTTTGTTCAGGAATATCTAAAGTATAAGTGATATCTATCTGAAAATATAGTTGTGAAGGGTAGTCTTTGAAATCCATGCAAAAAAATAATGACCATGTGACTTCTACCTTTGACCAACTAGGAGTTTGGGATAATGTTATTATCCTTGTAATAGTGATAAGTTATTTTTTTGTATATATTAATTAAGAAAATTCTGAAGAGTGAAGCTTCATTGCTTTGATCCGAAGAAAATGTGAATAGTCATAAAGCATGAGGCAATGCGCAAACAAGTTCATGAACAAGCAAGCGCAGGCAATGGCATGATCGAGACGATAGACACACTAGAAGATGTGTCTGGGCTACAAGGTGCGAGAAGCAAGCACATGTGTGAAGATGCATGTAGGTGAGTGGACGGCAACAGCACAAGGTACGGAAGTAAGCACATGTGTGAAGATGCATTTAGATGAGTGGATGACAGCAGCACATGAGCAAGATGCTAGCATGAGCACAAGCATAAGCACAAAAAGACCTATAGACATAATCTATCAGAATGGTCGGTGTGATGGCTGGATGGGCGAGCATTACAGGTTGTGGCAGGTTAGGCATTGTAAGTGAATGCAAGGGAAAATGACAAGTGTAAAGGGTGGACACGAGAGAGAGCAAGTGGAAACTATCATGACCTAGCCTGGAAGCTCATAGTAAAAAGTGGGAGGAGCAGATAATCATGATAATGGATATTGTAGGTTGATCCTTGATCTACCATCACTATAAAATAATGATAAAATGGCAATGTTATAGACAATATTACAATTTCATACTTACTTCAGAGATGATTTGTATCAAATAAAATAGTAATCAGAACTTCTAAATCAAAAAATACAATTAATAACTTAGAACTATACTTAACTTACCCATTCCTTTCTTGGTGCTCTTAACCTTTAATGACTCCATTAAGCTCAACTTACCTAAAATATCAAAAATAAATGGGTTGAGTTTACAATTCTAAACTATAGTAACTCAAAGGGAAAAAAAAAGGAATATGCAGGCAGTTGTCATATTTAAATTATAAATAAATCATATAATTTACTTTCTCTTTTCAATAACAATTATTATAAAAAACAATACTTAGCTGTCAGAGTTACCAACAAGAATTTAATATAGCATTCAAACTTAACATTAATAGCATGAATATGAATTAAAATATATCATATCATAGCTTATCTTGTAATATAAATATTTAATACATCTGTCACTGAAACACTGCCATTATCAATAATATTTTCCAGATTATGACACTCTCGAAGTACTAGGTGTAATCCTATACGAGCAAGTGCAAACATCCACAACTAGTACCATGAGGAGTGACTCGATCTTTGAACATGCACATACAGGCATTTCTTTATATCATTTCTTTAGCAATTGCCTTAGCATTCAATGTCTTTTATAAGAAAAAATGCATGGAATGGTATAAAGTTTACATAAGCAATTACAACCAACGATGAAATCTACATGTTATTCATAGCAATATGAAGATCAGTTGCATTAGAGATATAAATCATTGTAAAGCTATTCACAATAACAATATTATAATTATAACTTCATCTCATGTGCATAAATAAAAAGAAATCAAAAGAATATCCAACAAATGCATCGATTTTTGAAGAAAGTAAGCATTACCTTAATTTAGAAAAGAGATCACCCAACCTTACAACATTTTAAATTATGAATTAAAACCTTGGCATCACCTTAAGAACTTGAACTTAGAAGAGCCAACTTAGCAATACTTAAACTTGACACCACAATTAAATTATAATTCAATCCACAAACCATAAATATAGTCAGGTCATACAACTTAAATAATTTACAATCTACAACTTTAATTCCACCAATCATCTTGTTATCCTTTTAAATCTTGCCAAAAAAATAAAATTCATACACTAAAATTATTATTAGCATTATTCTTTCATTTATATACACTACACCTTAATTGTAGTCATTATATAATGACTATAAGCCATATATTAATAACCCATGTATCTTTAGGTATTTATTTAAATAACAAACTGCAATTAGATTAGTTAAGTTTTATTTCTTCAAAATCCAACACTCCATTTAACATGCACTCAACAAACATCATACATAAACTATTACCCATCATACTAACTTATTTTGGTTAAGCCCAAACCAATTAATCTCATACCATTTTAATGGTTATGCATTGTTAAATCATTTAAGAGCATTTTGGCACCTGTTTGGCAATCATCAAAATTAAAGAGAGAAGGATTTATGAGCCATCTCATCGATCATAATATAGCCTCCTCTAGTATCAAATCATATAGTTTAAGTAATAATACATCTCACATCCATCATAAAATATAAGTTTAAAATTCAATTATCTTACCATGCAACTCCATCTTAAACCAATTAGCATCTAGTAATCTAAACTTTAATTCAATTAATTTGAATTGAATCTATCACTAAAAGTTTTGTGAGGAATGTGCATTATAAAATCTATAATTTCATTATTGTAGTCATAACGTTAGTTACTAATATATCATAAAAATAATGCTTTGCTTCGGTACCAGGATTTAAGCAGAATTTAAGAAGGATTTAAACTAATTTCTACCAAAGAGCAAAAATGACAATTTTAAATCCTACACAATCTTAAGGGTCCGTTTAGCAGCAGGATTTGAGCAGGATCTAAGTAGGATTTAGCCTAACTCCTACCAAACATCCAAGATGACAACTTAAATCCCATGTCTTCTCCATTTTGGCCTAAATCCCAGATTTATTAAATTCGGGAGTTCGGCAAATTTACAGGATTTTGCTGAAGAAGTGCAAAAGGGGAGAGATATCAAGAGTTACCTTCGTGGCGAGCTCCCGTCGTGATTGCTGACTAATAAGTAATAACGCTACGGCTAGTAAGATTTTTTTTTGGCATGTTTCGCTGCAGTTAGGGGCATTTTGGTAGCAGATTTGAAGCAGGATTTGCCTTAAATCCTGCCAAACAAAAAATGGGCAACTTAAATTTCACAGAGAATTAAATCCTTCATTTCCCCTTTTTTGTCGTAAATTCCATATTTACTAAATCCTACAGTTGGGCAGATTTATGGGATTTGGCCGAAGAAGCACGCGAAAGGAGAGAAAGTTTGTTACCGCCGCAATGAGCAAGCTCCCATCATCGTCAAAGGAGGTGAAGGAATAATGTTGTCTATCTGTTTGACTTCTGATCCAACTCATTCTAGAGCTCACGCAATAGTGAAAGAAATCGAAACAAAGAAGAGTAAAAGCATGTTGTAGACAGGCGGCCTAAGGAGTGCAATAATATATAATTACAAAATTAATTAAATATTAAATACTAATTAAATGATTAATTAATAATTACCAATTTAATTAATTAGAGATATAATACATAAATAATTACTTAGATAGTTAATAATATATTTAGTAAATACAATTTTTTAAATTATAATTAAATGATTAATTAACTTCTAATTAATCGGTAACTACTATTTCAAATATAAATTAAATTTGAGTTCTTAATGAGCTAATCTTCTTAAATTTTATATTATACATTGCCAAATAGTTTAAAGGATTTAACATTTATCTTGTCAAACAATTTTTAAGATTTAACACACTCAAAATTTATTAATAGAAATTTATAAGATTTGCTAAATCTATTAAAGTTAAATCCTATTCGTTAACGAACAACCCCTTAGGAGAAAGAGTAGATGGAGGAGAAGTTGTTGAAGGAGGCGAAGAAGCTTGTTGAATACCATTTCCTCCCTGTTTTTTGTTAAATCCTAAATTTCATAAATCCAAGCATTGGGCAGATTTAACTTGAATTGCAAGTCTCACGAAACCTCTTCTTCTTTATGCATCGTTGGTCATGTCGATGCGTTCTCTAACAAGCTCCCGCCGAGACTTCATCGCTTCTTTCTCATTTGTTTGTCAACCGGAGGGGTTGTTTGGCAACAAGTAGGATTTAACTAGAATAGGATTTACTAAATCCGCATTTAGTAAATCCTAGAAAATTGTTTGGTAACATGAGTGTTAAATCTTGTGGAGTTGTTTGGCAATGTAATCCAAGATTTAAGGCGATTATTTGTACTATGAATCATATTTAAAATTCATTTGCACTCATACTAACTAATTTTTTAATATTAAATTTTGAATGCTGCAAAGTATCAAAATCAATAAATAACTGACATTATAAAGAAAAACTTGATATACATGTGTACTATAGTAGAACACAATAAAAATCTAAAGCAACATCACTATAGCATCTAATAATAAGATAATGAAGGCGTCCGTATTTGTGAGTACAAATTGCTTTCACGATGATCGACGTCGTTGATTAAATGCTTGTAAATGTTTACTCTCCTCAGTAAATAGCACATGAAAATAAATTTAATTTTAGTAAATGAAACTGTAGTAATACCCTAGCTTCCCATAAGTCAATGGCAATTGAATGCCTAACTAATTTAGTCTAAATTCTCTCCCCAATAGTTGTGTGCATGTTAGGATCTTTCTAATTGGTTTGCACTTCACCCAATTCATTATCATGTTGCATCTCAGTTTGGGACATTTTGAAGTACATGTCGTGTCCATCATAATGCCCTATGAAATTATGCAACACAACACAAGCAAGAACAATATCAACCTATACTTCCAAAGGAAATTGTCTCATTTTGGTTAGCACTTCAAACCTCTCTTTCCAAATACCAAATGTTCACTCCACTATGTTACGTAATTAGGCATGGTGATGCACGTAAGCTCTTGTTATGCTAAGTATCTAAGAGATCTTTCCCCACGGTACTCACTTAGATGATAGTGAAATCCCCTGAAAGGTGCCATAAGCTTTTCAGTGTTTGCATATCCATAATCTCCTAAATAATATTTACCATGTGGAACAGTGAAGCCTCCTTTTTCTACCGCCCATCTTAGTACCCGCATATCACTGTGGAACCCTCCCAACCAAAAGCAATGTAGACAAAATAACGATCAAATGATATTGTCATCATAATTATGTGAAGTAAAATCCTTTTTGTTTCAATATTTATTTTGTAACTCCTCACCCACAATAGAAGGGATATGTGTACCATCAATTGCACTGACTGCATTTTGAAAAAATGGATAGAAATGTTCATAGATTTGTACTGATGGATTGCAGTCAACATCTCTAGAAAGTAATTTTAATAAACTCTTATGCCAATGATACAAACGCTCTAAGCACCAAATTAAAATAAAAACTCACTATCTCAAGTGAGTGTTGAAAGAATCCACAAATTTGTTTGTACGAATGTGCATGTGCAACGGAAAATCGGCAATTGTTCATCAGCACCCATGAATCTACTATCCCTAATCAACCCACGACAAACCAACAACTCCTTCAACTACCCAAATGCCTTCGCCGAAAGTCTAAAACAATCGTACGCCCATAGTGGATGGCCAGAAAGAATGTCAACAATGTAAAGTTGGCAAGTATATGCCCTATTTTACATGGGTCTTTTCATCTTGGGCTCATAAACCCTTGATCAACATATTAATCAATCCTATCAACACTCAAGTTTATCATGTTAATGCCAAACCTAAAAACAGTATCAAATTTCATTGACTGGTTCTGCAACCATAATAAAACTGAACTTCGCTTAAACCATCCCAAACAAACAAGATTATTTTGCATCTTAACATTAATTAAGCCTAGGTAACTGAAATCCATTCTCAAAGCAAATGCTAAATGTTGAATACAGGAAAAACTATAATAGCAAGAACTTCTAAACACTAAAATCGAGTTAGGGGCTGTTTGGTTGTCTAAAAATAAAATGCAGTGTAAAGTAAATGCAGTGCATTCTGAAAACTTTACACCTGTTTGGTTGTCTGCAAAATAAATGCAGGAGAATTGTTTCTCTTGTTTGGTTTGATTGATCCAGAGTAAAGTAAAATCAATTTTTTTGTAATAATTTTAAAGAAACTATGGAAACTCATGCATTCATCTGTTAGTATACCTTTTTAGCACAATTTTCTTATTGCTATATAGTTTTTGAACTTAATTCTTGTTTCTTGTTTGACTAAGGCTTAATTTGAGAAAATTTTATTATTGCTTTCTAAAACACCTTTTTAGTACAAATAATTCTTAAAAAATACCACTTAATACCCCGTTGATAATCTCAATTAAAAAAACTTAAAAAATCCAATCAAATAAAATAAAGTAGAAATCTTTATTATCCATTACAAATACCACTTAATACCAAGCTGTGCCTCATGGCTTTATTTTGAACTACACATAATCTTCATGTTATCCTATAACTTTCACATAAATTCATCAACGGCAATCTTACAAGCATCTCATATTCCTAAAATGAGATGGAGTACTTCGGCTGCTTATCAGGAGTAAAAAGCCCAAAGTGATTCTCTGTCCCCTGCGGCTTCTTCTGATTCTCATCAAACATGGCGAATATGTAGGCCTCAATGCTCCCTGGCCTCTTCGGCGTCTCCTGCCCAACATGGCTAATCAAGTTAGAAACGTATGTTTGTGCGTTCTGAGTAGTCGCCATCGTCCCACCGTCCGACGGCCACCCACTCTCCGACAACACCACCGCCACTCCAGACCCTCCTGCCCTCTCAAGAGCAGAGTAAAGCGCATCAAAGAGATTTTGATTGCTCAACTGACTGTTCGGATCTGTCACAACCGTTCCCGGAGAAGTAAAAAGCGCATATTCAATGGAGATGTCGGCGGTGTCGCCGACGTAGTTGAAGGGTAGATGTTGGCAAGGAGAGGGGCGCCATTGCCGGCGAGAAAACTGACAATTGGTTGCAGAGTGTTCGACGCATCGGAGGAGAAGGCACAACTTCCGATCGGACAGGCAAAGAGAACGTCTTCGAAGGAGCAAAGTCGAACATGAACGAAGGAGCCGAAGAAGCCTATCGTGCAATCTTACACCTCCTGCAAAGCAATGAAGCCGAACAGGAACAACGATTCTTCCGATGAATTTATAACCCGCTCAATACGAGCGGGTTTCTAATTCGCACGAAACAAGCCTCCTAATACACGCCTAATGCTTCCGAAGAATTTCTTTTGTTCCGCTTAAAATTAACCAAACAATCAAATTTAATAATTACATGTAATTATTTTGCTTTACACCCCTAATTCAGGCAACCAAACAACCCCTTAATAAGTTTAAATTTTCACCATATTGGAGAGACCTAACTTCAATTAAGAGAAATTTATAAAAACTTTCATAAAGAATTAACAAAAAATAAAAACGATGGAGCATACAGAAGATTGGAGTCTCGGATGCAGGCATTGAGGTGAGCGTGCTTGAGAACAGAAAAGGAAAACGTACCCAACTGCGAGAGTTCCTCGACGGGCTTACAGAAGTCGGACTGCGAGGAGTATAGGTCGAACAACGACGCTGGACTCTGAAGTGCAGACAGATCTAAGGAGATGTGGTCACTGGACGAATTATCAGTGCCTTAGAATAGGAATGAGTGGAAGAAGAAAGAGCGGATAGCTTCGACAGGGGGAGATGGAGAAGATTGAGATCTCGTTGTCCAGGAATGGGGAGGCAGGCAACTTGATGCTCGAAGCCAGGTACGACTACTACTCCTCTGTCCGCTCTCTCACTCTCCGGGTCTGTTCGGCAACAAGATTTATGCAGGATTTGAGCATGATTTATGCTAAATCCTGCCAAACGGGATTTGAGCGCCCCGTAAATCTCACGGCGGAATAAATCCTCCGTTTCCCTCGTTTTGCCCTAAATTCCGTATTTACTAAATCCTGTAGTTCGGCGAATTTACGGGATATGGCTGAAGAAGCGCGCGAAAGGGAGAAAGTTACCTTCACAGTGAGCGAGCTCCCGTCATTGCTTCCGATCAAAATGTCGTAACTTCCGATCCGACAAGAAGGGAACGTCGTCGAAGGAGCGAAGCCGAAGTGACCCGTGCAATCTCTACACCTCCGGCGAAGAAACGAAGCTAAAGAAGATGAAAATCAAACCCTAAACCCTAGACGTCTCTAAGCTATTACTGATTAACTTAATTAATATAATTTAAAATATTAATAATTAAGAAAATTAATTAAATAATTAGTAGTATAATTAATGCATTTATAATTAATCAATAAAACTAATTAAATAATACTTTAAATTTAATTAATCAATAGTAGGAGCTAGTTAAATAATTAGTTATTAAAAATATCTATATTAATATAATTAGATATTAAATACTTATTAAATTAACACATAAACAATTAAATTAATAAATAATAGTATAATACTATAATTAGTCATTTAATAATTTAATAATTAAGCTTACTTCTAATTAAATTATTTAGCATTATAATTTATTGATTATAATTATAATTACAATTAATAAGTTATTTGTACTTAACATATAATTAAATTCATAACCTATTAATTTTAATCTTAAAATGAACCAATCGTATTAAATCCTAGATTAAGTTGCCATTTCATAGGATTTAAAAATTATTGTGCCGAACAATTTACATAATTTAACATACCTTAGACTTATTAAATCTTGGATTTTCAAGATTTACTAATTCCAACAAAAGTTAAATCCTACTTTTGTCAAATAGCCCCTTTCCGTCGCTCTGTCTATCACTCTCCTGCGCGTTGAAATGTTAAATCCATCAAGCTTCAAAATTTAGTATATCAGGGATGTAGGGCATCTCCAACCAAAAATTTCATTTTTCACTCCAAAATACAGTGAAACTCAAAAATGTCGAGAATCAACTCCAATCGAACTCCATTTTGCGGGCTTTTGCAAAGGTAACGGTCTTTCTCCTCTTTGGCGCATTTCTTATGCAAGTCTGGTTAAGACAAGAAAGTGGTGTTGATGAATAGTGTGACGCCAATATTGACATCACATTGTTCACCCGAAAAGCAAATAGCGAAAAATTTCGCGTTCCGCTGGAGCGACGGAATGACTTCATAGACATGTTTTGTGTTCGGTTGGAGATGATCTTACAGCGAAGAGGAGTAGACAGAGGTATTCCGCAAGTTTGAAGGGCATAAATCATGTTTGTCCGAAGTCGTAGCAAGATAGAAGCACGTGAGGCCGAAGCAGCAATGGCGAAGAAGTAACAAACCACATGAAGCAAATGCGAATTTATAAAAAAAGGAGCAAATTTTTAATAATTAAGTGAAAAAAAAAAACTATTTTAAGAGATAATCTAGAAAGGGCAATACTTAAAACGAATTTTCGCATTAAGGGCATAGTTGAAAATATTTTTTTGTTTCTTAGAATGCAAAAAAAAAATCAAAATCTATTTGTATTGAAATTTTATGTTAATCTTCCCGGAATTTGACGAATATACTTCTAATATATTATTTAATTAATTACTATATATTATATTATATTTATTAAATTATTTAATAAATGATGAGTTGAGAAATTGACTACATATACTTCTAATATTATTAAAAAAATTTAAATTTATCAAAGAATATTATTGGTAGTTAATTAATCTTGAGTCATATATTATTGGTTTTTATATTATTACTAATATAAACCATTAGAGGGTAAATTCTTATAATTATAATATTTAGATTTTTTTTTTGTTATGAGAGATTTTAAAATAAACTTTTCACTTAATTATGTAAATTTTACGTTCCATAGTTTTTATATCATTTAATTTTTTGTCTCATATTTAGAATAATATCATTATTATTATGTTAATTTTATTAAATTTTAATAATATTATTATTTATTGCATCATCCGATTAGAACCCGATTTGATTGGTCGAATCATGAACCTCTTCTTTTTTTTTGTTCTTATCTTATTTGATAAAGTTTCGACCTGTAAAATATATTTGAAATAATTTATCTTTTTTTTTTTTTGGAAAATTTGTATCCCTTAATTAGTATTTTTTTAGAAACCATTAATTAGTAGTTTTGATACACGTGTAAATTAATTTGAGGGCATCAGACATTTAGACTCCTTGATGGGGCAAATTGATGGATACTCCGTCGTAAAGATTTTTCCTTTTCCAGAGTTGCACAATCATATTTAAGAAGTGCTCGACGATCATCGCCGCCACCTTTCGCCGTGAATGGCAACGACTCGAATCCAATTGAGCGAGAGACGGAATCCCTTTCTCCTAACTCTGGCTGTCCTGATCGTCACCCTGCTCGTCATCATATACTTCACCACCGACATCACCAATCGCTTCTCCACTTTCTACTTCCCCTCCCCAGATCTTAAATCCTCTAATTCCAATCCTTCCACTCCTCAATCCCAGCTCTTCCCGCCTTCTGCTCCAAATCCTCGGGCTTCTTCCACATCGTTTTCCGGGGATGGCTCGTCGAAGCTTGACGAAAGAGGAGAAGGAAAGGGAGTCAGTGGAGATGGCGAAGAAGTCACCAAGGAGTTTGATTTCCGCTGGGAGATCTGTGGGAGGGAGAAGGGATCCGAGGCGGTGGATAACATCCCGTGCCTGGATAACATGAAAGCGATCAAGGCATTGAAGTCGAGAAGGCGTATGGAGCACCGGGAGCGCCATTGCCCAAAGCCGAGCCCGAGGTGCCTGGTCCCCCTCCCCCTCGGGTACAAGATACCGGTGCCCTGGCCGAAGAGCAGAGACATGGTGAGATTGAGTGTTCGGTAAGAAATTAAACATCACGGGTTTCTTTTTATCTAATATTATAGTCTCCTCTGCAGTCGATCTGTTAACAATTACAATAGTATTGTTGAAGCTATGCTATATGCAATAAAAATCTTTTTGTGAACGATGTGAGTAGTGTTCGAATTCATTTGTTAACGTGATCACATTCTTGTTTATTCTATAAGCTATACACCTTTACTTGCGTATTTAAGTATGGTAATTTTAGAATTCAACGATTGATTAATGTTTGCTTGATTTTTAGTTGATTAATTTGTTTCCAGATATGGTATGACAATGTTCCTCACCCTAAACTAGTTGAGTACAAGAAGGATCAAAATTGGGTCCGAAAATCTGGTGAATATCTTCTTTTTCCCGGTGGTGGAACTCAATTTAAAGATGGAGTAAATGCCTATACTCACTTTATTGAGAAGGTATGCGAAGAAATTTACATTGAAGAGTATGTGAAATCATATAAATCAAAGTAATTTCAAATTTCTAAATCACAACTTTTACTGTTTCTGTTACATTGTTATCTAGCTGTTATACTTGTTTAGAACTTTTTGCATGCTATGGATTGTTTTTCAGGTATTTTGGTTTTGCAAACTGATGTTACTTCTCTAGATTATCAAACTTGGCACAAATTCTTTCCTCAGCTTATTGAAAATAACCAGGATATTTTAATACGTTCGAGAAATAAATGATCTTACCAAGTTGAAAAAACGAATATAAGTAGTCAGAAGGCTTTTTTCTACCTAAGAAATGGAACATGGGATGTCAAAGGAATGATGGCGTGCTTACCTGACTGTGTGCTTCATCATAAAGATCAATCTTTTGCAATTTTTTCCAGAAAATATTTGATAATTTTGTGTGAATATTTCTCTTGTTCACTCTTTTGATGTTAAAGAATTTCAATTTGTTTTTCTATAAGAGAGAACTGGCTGCATTAGGTTTCTGAGAGTTGAAAACTTATTATGTTCATACTTGTTGGATAACCCAGACTTTGCCTGCTATTGATTGGGGTAGACATACAAGAGTTGTACTTGATGTTGGTTGTGGTGTTGCAAGCTTTGGTGGGTACTTATTGGATAAAGATGTCATCACAATGTCTTTTGCACCGAAGGATGAGCACGAGGCTCAGATACAATTTGCCCTTGAGCGAGGAATTCCGGCTGTTTTGTCAGTTATTGGTACCCAACAATTGACTTTCCCTGATAATGCATTTGATCTGATTCATTGTGCCCGGTGCAGGGTGCATTGGGATGGAGATGGTAACTATAACCTTTCTACTAAACTGTCCATGCTTATAAGATTTATATTTATATCATTAATAATCTTATGTTTTTAACCAATGATTATTTTCAATTCTAGGTGGAAAGCCATTAATAGAACTTAACCGGATACTTAGGCCTGGTGGCTATTTTGTTTGGTCTGCAACACCAGTTTATCGTGACGATCCAAGAGATCAGGGTGTCTGGAATGGTTAGTCCCTTGCTTTAGGTTTGAATAGTGAGTTTTCAATCAGGTTAGTTTTTATGAAAGGTGAAATCACAGTGTTCTTTATCTTGATAAATATAGAAAATATAACTGCTAATTAATAAATATGGAATTGTTGTTGAAAATATTTGGAAAAAGTGCAACAACGACATCAATCTTTTATCCCACTACGTGGGGTTGGCTACATGAATCATTTTTTTCTCCATTGCTTCCTATTAAGAGTCAAATTCTCATTTAAATTTAATAAGAAAATGTCAGTTCTAATAATTTCTAACCTAGTCTTTTTAGTCTACATTTACATTTTTTAACATATGTCCGATCTAACGCATGTACTCTTCTAATCGAGTCATCGGAAGGCCCAATCCTCAAAAAGTGTGCATAAAAAAAAACATGTATTAACAAATAATGACTAATTAAACAAATAAATTGATAAGGACATAAAAGCATGAGAAGGTGAGATTAATTTATACCCTTAGAGCAGATAATGTTCTTTCATTCAGGATTAACCATTGTTGCTCCCAATGTTATTGAGGATTATGCTTCATTTTAACGACGCACAATTAGATGGAAGTTTTGTGTAAAGCCCATATTCTTTGGTTATCAAGACTAAGGACAATTAAGAAATATGAAAAATATAAGGATGGGCAGAAGTATGAGATATTTTGTTTGCAAAAAAAATCAAACTAGCCCTCTAACTATTAATAAGTTTCTAATTTATTCTCCGAGTTCCACACTACCCCAACTAATCTCTTGACTTTTGAAAATTGTTCTAATTTTGTCTATCCATTAACAAATCTCTCCAAATTGACAGAAAGTGCTTATGCTCTCTTGCCACATAATTTGGCAATGGCATTTATTAACAAATTTATAAATTCTATTTTTTAACTCATTTATCAAAACTGGTTACTTGTGCTAATAATTGGAATACATAATTTAAACTAATAGGAGTGCAAAAATATAACATAAGGTATCTATTTACAAATATAATTTATGTCATAATAACTTACTAGCTTGATACTCATTTCAAATATTTCTTTTACTAATTCTTCAACATTATTATTATTTTTAATTAACTTTCATTCAGGCTTTTGTATATATTATAATTCATTAAATACAAAATAGAGTAACATAAGAAATATTATCTCACATACACTTGCACTACCTAAAATATCCTCACATCTAACTTTGGTGTTAACTTTAACTAACATTTTTGGCCCTAAACCAAATTAGATCAATTTTCAATAATCGATATGCTTAATTGGAATAGAGCAAAATTGTAGGACTAAATTTGATACTCACTAATAGTTGGAAGACCTATTTGGAGTCGTTTCTCTATTTTATTGTATATGTTAAGTAAACAATGCGATTGAACAAAACATCTATATTACTTAATCAACCTCACTATCCTTTATAAGAAGCACATCCTTGAATTTTTATTTTTAAGCTACATGAATATTGAAGTAATTATCACAAAAAATTTAGTGAACTTTCACCCATTTCTCTTTTGGAATGGGGATAACTTCCCTTTTTTAAAGCCTTTAAAGCAAGAATTGAAACCAACAATCCTCTATAATGGTTTAAAATAAATTAAAAAAAAAAAGAAGCAAAACATGAGTCCACTATTGGATTCAATTACCTCAAACCTGCATTCAATAATGCTTTTTGTAGGCTAAAGATTGAGGGTGGATTGCAACTCCTTGAAACAAAGTTTAGAATTGTTCCTTTGTAATCATAAGCATGATAGGGTAATATGCATAATAACATTTTGATGATCATTTTATGAGATTTATTCTCACAAGAGATATTAATGACTTGAGCTCCAATCCCATAACTATGGTCTCACAATTACTCTCACCTTGTAGAAAATGAAGCATTTTTCTTAAAATTTGACTTTCTTGATTGATACTTGTTGTGAAATGTTTCTCTGTTTTTCCATGAACCATAAGGCTATCATCAACATTTTAATCATTGAATTCTCCACTCTTTAGTAGTTATTTCGAATTCTCCACTCTTTAGTAATTATTTGGAATTTATGGCTAGTTTAGTTTCTGCCATTTAAAAGGTGATTTTATCATAATATATAGTATCTATAAAATGTTTATATTATTTGGGCATAGAACTTAAGAGGATTTCAGCTTCAATGCTTTTAAGATCCATCATGACCTTATTAAAGTTGTCCAAATGCTTCTTTAGTGGCTTAAGATTGATCCATTTACAAGGTGTATAACCTGGTCATGAGGTATAATTGATTTGCAAGGGCCTTTTCAAGTATACGGATTCAAGCTCCCTTCAAACATCAACAACCGACTCCTCCTTGACAATCTCCGTTAGAACTTCATCTCCAAAACTATAGAGGATTGCAATATGAGCTATCTTTGTTAGCATTATCAAATCAGTTATTTACCTACTCCTTTTTCAATACTTCTAAAGACAAAGCTGCATCCAAGCCTTGATGCACGAGCTACATCTTCATCTTCAGTCTTCAAAGATCAATTATTTTGCCATGTGAACTTCTTTATCTCCCATCTTGCCAATACCATCTTCAGTTTTTGATTCTCAGTACTCTAACAACAATTCTAAGAACAAGAAGAGATGAGTTAAGAATATCTTTTAACTCTTCTTGATTGAAACCCTTGCTTGAATCAAAAGTTTCTCCAGGGCAATTAATCCTGTTCTTACCCAGAATTCAAGTTCTTTAATTTGCACTTCACTTTCAACCTTTATCCTTTAGCCAGTTTAGCCTTCTTCCCAGAATTGGTCTGGCTTAATTCCTTTGTTGGTTAATTGAATAATTGATCGAACTGAATTGGCTAACCATATGCATCATATACTCGCTCTTTCTTTTTTGTTCTAACAGATCATAGCCGTGGTTATACATGCATCAACATAACATGTAACTGCCTTTGGCAACCATTTCGCTGGCTTTTGTTTTATTGAATATCTTTCTATTTTTTTTTTTTCAGTTCACTTTTTCATTAATTTGAGTTTCCCTGTTGTTGTCTCCTGTTATCACCGCAAAATTTCAGATCTCTCCCGAAATTTACTTTATTCTTTTAAGTTAAAAATATACAAATACTAATGAGATTAGCTACGCGAGCATCTGGATGAGCTTTACTGGAGAAGTTAATCTGTTTCAAAATCTTTTACATTGAGAATTCATCAGGGCTTATATATGAAGCACATATGCAGGCAACAGTACGCGCTTATGCTCATCGCATGAGCGTAATTACTGATTTTTTTATATTAAATCTACCAAAAAGATAGTGAAGAGATTTTTTATGCAAATGTCATGTTTTATTCATCATATGTATATTTTTTTTGGGACTTTTGAGCGAATTTAATGCAAACTCGCACATACATCACATATGTAAACTTCGAACTCAAGACTTCTTGGTTGATATACTATGCTCGCATCCAACAGATTAAGGTGAGCTGCATTATCATCAGTATCTTAATACTCAAATTTGAGTGAATGTTTTTGTCCTTTTATGGTTGCATGAACTTTTTTTCAAAATTCTGTTGAAGTTTTAAAGTTAGTACAAGAGTATGAATTCAACTTTTCTTTTTCTCATACTAAATGACTACAGCTTTTGTGTTTCCCGCAGCTATGATAACTTTGACAAAATCTATTTGCTGGAGAGTAGTGGTGAAAGCAACTGATGTAACTGGAATTGGACTTGTCATATATCAGAAGCCTACCTTAAACTCATGCTATGATGAGAGAAAAGTCAACAATCCTCCCTTATGCATTCAGAAAAACAGATCTAGTATATCATGGTACTATCCGCTAATATTTATCTACTGTATAAATATTAGTTATTTGTTTTATGGGGGGGGGGTTGGTCGGCATGCTTGTGTGGGGGATTGATTTGGGATTGAATGTCTTTCCACTCTTGTCAATCTTAATTTAGGAAAGAGGATTTAAAATGAATCTCTTCCTAATTGAAATTCCAATTCAAATTGGCTTGATTTAAGGGGTTTTCTAAATTAAATCATCCTATTTTAGGAAGAAAATTTTAAATTCAAATTATTGGAAATCTAAAATTAAAGCCTTCCTAATTTAGGACAAGAGAAAAAGGGGAGATGGGGGCCGGCGGCTTGGAGGGGAGGGAGGACGACGGCTAGGAGAAGGGAGTGAGGAGAACTATGAACCCGGACGCTTCATGCGGCTGGTGGGTAATGCGTTGCCCTCACCTAGGGACTTCACCAATGTTCTCACAAGAACTCTCAAAACTCACAAAGGAACAAAAGTACAAAAAATTCATAATAATCATCATTACTCTATCCAAAGAAAAGGAGGGGTTATAAATATCCCAAATTACAATGATTAGACAAAGACAAAAGTGCCCCTAAGGGCCACAAACAACTACTCCCTCAAGTGAGGGTAAAAATGAAAAAAAATTGCAATAATAAATCAAATACACATATAATAATAATAATACCCAATACAAATGATAGCTAAAAAATAAAGTTGTGCGACCATGGCCGTAGATCGTCGGCCCCTTCTCTGGTAGGCTCTCCATGGTCGAATGTCCTCATCACACAGACATCACATTCAAATTTTGAAATATGGATTAATGCATTGGTGATGCTTCGAATATCGTGATGTGGGTGACCCAGCAGGTACTGCCACTGATAGGGGAAAATCGATGATGATAAGTTAATGGATCAACAATTGGAAAGATAAATAGTATATCCTGATAGCAATGTGTCTAGCAATGACTAACAATCCCGTCATGCATTCAAAACATAGCAAAAACGATTACCTATTTATCAGAGAGAGAAGATAAACTTAGGTGTAGTTAAGACGTTTATTACATCAGAAGAACTGGTGGCAGAAATTTTAACTAAAGGACTGTGCATGAATCAACCTTGGTATCTTAGGAATACATTGACCATATTTTCAACCAATGGTCAATTTGAGGATAAATGTAAAGTCAAATGCAAGAGCAAGAATGGAAATATTTTGGAGGGATCCTTATTGATAGCAACATTAATTCATTCATAGCCTTTAAAATAGGAGATGATGCTCATGGATATCAGATTTTGTTCCTTGCGCTCTTCTATATTTGAAAAAATCCTAATTAAGGATAAAACTATCCTTACTATTATCACATTCAAACTATTTTAAAAATTTAAAACAAATAAGGAAGATTCAGCTATTAATGATTTGGGCCAAAAAGACTTAAAAATTGGTCTGGTTTAATTCCTTTGTTGGTTGATTGAATAATTGAGCGAACTGAATTGGCTAACAATATGCATCATACTCGCTCCATCTTTTTTGTTCTAACAGATCATAGCCCGTGGTTATACATGCATCAACATAACATGGAACTGCTTTTGGCACCCATTTCGCTGGCTTTTGTTTTATTGAATCTCTCTTTTTTTTTCTTTCTTTTTTTTCAGTTCATTTTTTCGTTAATTTGAGTTTCCCTGTTGTTGTCTCCTGTTATCACGGCAAAATTTCAGATCTCTCCCGAATAATTTACTTTATTCTTTTAAGTTAAGAAAATACAAATAGTAATGAGATTAGCTTTTCGAGCATCTGGATGAGCTTTACTGGAGAAGGTAATCTGTTACAAAATCTTTTGCATTGAGAATTCATTAGGGCTTATATATGAAGCACATATGCATGCAACACTACATGCTTATCCCTTGAGATTTCTCTTATGCATGAGTGTAATTACTGATTTTTTTATATTAAATCTACCAAAAAAATAGCGAAGAGATTCTTTATGCAAATGTCCCGTTTTATTCATCATCAATATCTTTTTTTTTTTTTTTTTTTTACTTCTGAGCGAATTTTATGTAAACTCATACATGCATCATATATGTAAACTTTGAACTCAAAATCTCTTGATTGATATCATATTCTCCCATCCAACAGATTAAGGTTTCAGTATCTTAATACTCAAATTTGAGTGAATGTTTTGGACTTTTTATGGTTGCATAAACTTTTTTCAAATTATCTGTTGAAGTTTTAAAGTTAGTACACTACAGCTTTTATTTTTCCCGCAGCTATGATAACTTTGACAAAATCTATTTGCTGGAGAGTAGTGGTGAAAGCAACTGATACAACTGGAATTGGACTTGTCATATATCAGAAGCCTACCTTAAACTCATGCTATAATAAGAGAAAAGTCAAGAATCCTCCCTTATGCATTCAGAAAAACAGATCTAGTATATCATGGTACTATCCGCTAATATTTATCTACTATATAAATATTAGTTATTAGTTTTACAACTTCTCGGGCTTTATGAATCTGTAGGTATACTCCTCTTGAAGATTGTCTGCCTCCTGTTCATATTGCCAACTCTGATGCGCAGCAAACTTGGCCTGTTTGGCCTGAAAGGTTAAACGTTTGGCCTTCAAATATATTTGAGTTAAACATAGAGTATGGTGAAGAAAGATTCTATGAGGACATGAAGCACTGGGAAGTACTTGTATCAGGTATTTACACGTTTGATCTTGCAATAAACTGGTCAAGCTTCCGTAATGTGATGGACATGAATGCTGGATTTGGAGGGTAAGTTTAAGCTTTATTGTATTTGCGCAGTTTATCTTCATTGCATTCATGAATGTGATGGACATGAATGCTGTATTTGCGCAGTTTATCTGAGCCTGTTTGCTTTGATTGATGAAATGAATGCCTTATTTTTTCATTCCATGAACTTCAAATGGAACCCTTATCCCTGCAATATTTCCATTAAGGTCAAAAGAGATTGCTGAAACAAAGCCTTTATCCTTTTTTATTTTTTTTTGAGCTCTAAATTAACATAATTTTTTGCAAATTAGATGGCTTGCCTTCAATGTTGCTGCAGATAACTAAATAGGTTGCCATATGTCAAAGCATATCCAAGGTGTTAGATGGATGTGTTGTAACTTTTTGATGGGGCCTTATGCTTCATGCTTCATGCTTGAAGTAAAGGTTTAATCACAATGAGGATTAGCCACAGCTTGAGCAGCTGGTTTTTTTAATGCTCATCAAATACACTTGATTCCTTTAATTGTAGTCTTTTTCACTTTCCCTTATAAATAAAAGTTGACTTTACGAGATTTTAGGGTAGAACCCAAAGGAGAAAAAAAGAATAGTAGGCTATATGATAAGGGGAAATTTTACTTTATATGCCTTACAATATGTTGGCTAAATATATATGCAATTTGTTTTCTTTGAGAAATATGCTTGAAACTTTGTTTCTGATAAATTATGCAGACAAATCTCATAGGGGGAAGGCATCGAGATGCCAACAGCCTATGAAGGAGAAGATTTGTTAGTGGGATAGGTGGTATTCAAGAACGAAGAGAAAGGCGAAGGTTCAAACCAAGTTCGAGCCTTGATTTGAACAAGAGCTCAAATTCGAACCAATTCAAATCGATTTCGCAGCAAACTGTGAATAGAAGAGCCTGTTATTTCATTCGAAATGATTTTTCGTGCATCTTTTTCAAAGAAAACAAACAACAAAGATATTTTATCAATTATGACTATTATAAGGCATATAAAATCAAATTTCTCTATGATAAGCTAAGCTAAGAAGTGTTTTTTTTTAAGTCACCTAGTACATTTGATGAACTTCCTGTTGACACATGACATAAATTCTATTTTGAGTTATGGGGCAAATTCTGTGAGAAAATGTCAAATTTCTATCAAGGCATCTATCCTGCATGATGTGTATAACTGAAGGCGTAAATGAGTTGAGTTTAACTTGAGTCACAACTAACATAATCTCGGCTCATCGGTCTAATGGGAGTTTTGAATTGAGCTTGAGCTGGAGTTTAGTTCATAGATTGAGCTTGAAGGCTCCACTATTTAGTGGAAGGCTCAAGCATGACTGGTGAACTCAAGATCACTAGAGAAGCCTCGTGAAGAAGTCATGATGGAAGCTTGTGGGAGAAGTTATCAATGCGGTGAGAAAATTGTGATGGGAGCTTGATAGAGAAGGCATTGACGGAGCTGACAATGTTTGAAGAAGAAAAAGAGGAAGTTGCAATAGGACTACTGAAGTTTGAAGAAGAAGAATAGGAAGTCATAATGTGATCAGTGGCGTTTGAAGAGGAAGTCACAATGAGACTTGTCGCTGGCAATATTTGAAGTAGAAAAAGAAGAAATAGCAATTGGACCGGCTCCTAGTAGTGTTTGAAAAGTAGAAGTCGTGATAGGAGTAGGACCATTCTTAAATCAAGCGGTTGAGGAACCCTTCATGGATTTATTGTCAAATAAGGGAAAAACAAGATTTACGATTCAAATTTAATTCAGTTGGCTTGCAAGTCAACAAGCTGAATCTCAAGCTCAACTTAAACTCATATAACATATAAGCTATAATAAGAACTCAAGCTCAAGGCTCAATAAACTCAACTGATGAGCTCATTAGCAAGTCAAATTCAAGTTGAATTAGGAGCTGGCTCAGCTCACTTTCTCCCCTATTTCTACCATATTAACTAGGTCTATATTTGAAATTGGTTATATTGTATTCTATACCTTTAACTTCTACAGTTAGGGTAACCTCCAGTTATTTTTCGTTCTCTTAAACATTCACAATATCACTTAATCCATTTTATACTTCTCTCTCCTTATTGAAATTGCTGATTTTGTTATTTTAAGCCTCTTTAGCTTCTTCATCATGAGAACCTTGGCTTAACACAAGTTTATTATCAAATGAAAATCTTGTTGCATCACATCGTCAAATTTTATATCGGACTTGGTTACTGCATTCCGTTTGAGGGAGTTAATGTGAATTTCGGTAAGAAGATAGAGATAAATCCTACAGAGTTCCTACTCCCACAGAAAGAAGAGTCATTTTCCTTTGTACTTGTCTGAGAACTGCATGGATGTACACGTAGGAATTAAAATGGAATACTGCACAATCAATTGTCTACTTTATTTCCAGTTAATTCCACCCAAAAAAAAGAACAATTTGCACTTACAACTTACAGTTGTCTTTCTGCAAAAATTTTATCTGATCAAGTAAATTTTTTATTCAATCATTACAGGTTTTCTGCAGCACTAGTCAAAGAACCTCTATGGGTAATGAACGTTGTGCCGATCCATGGACTGGATACTTTACCCGTCATCTTTGATAGAGGTTTAATTGGAATATATCACGACTGGTGTGAATCATTTAATACATATCCTAGAACATATGATCTGCTGCACTCCAGTTTTCTATTTGGCAGTCTTACAAAGAGGTAAAATACTTTGATTTGTATCCACATCCATGTGAAACCCCTCAAGTAAAGCAAGCTAAACTCATAAACATCGAGACGTCTTTTGGTGTAATGGTTGAAATTTTATTAAAAAAATTTGCAGTTAAGCGTGCTCGTCCCAGAGCAATTCTGGGATGGGCGACCTATTAGGAAGTTACACCAACAAGACAAAACTGTGAGGCTCTTAGGCCAAAGTAGACAATATATCGATAGTTAAGAGTTTATGCTGTTACAAATGATATCAGAGCAATACACTAGCCGGAAGATGGGAACTAAGTGTCATACAAGACAAAGTGCTATGTAATATAAACCACCTCTTGAACCCTGTATGGGATAAAGTGTTACATGACGGGAGCCACAACTTGAACTTGTAAGGATCACCTCTAGAATCCTATATGCTTGGTGGATGATTATGGGACAAAGATGATGAGCATGTTAGTTAATTAAGCGAGGAGATTGTGAAACCCCTTGAGTAAAATAAGCTAAATTCTTAAAATTAAGGTGCCCTTTGGTACAATGGTTGGAATTTCATTAAGAAAATCCGTAATTAAGCGTGCTCATCCCAGAGCAATTCTGTAATGGGTGACCTACTAGAAAGTTACACTAACAGGCTCAATAAAGCGTGAGACTCTTAGATCAAAGCGGACAATATCTCGATAGTTAAGAATTTGAACTGTTACAATCCATTTATCCAAAACCTTAAACCATCCAGCTCTCACATTTGCAACATAGTTAAAGCATATTTGTAACAATCAATTATGTTTCTGTTCTTTAACTTTAATCCCAATGCTGCCTTGCCGTCCATTACGTAGGTGTGACCTTGTAGACGTGGTTGCAGAAATGGATCGACTATTAAGACCAGGTGGATGGGTTTTGATTCAAGATACAGAAGAGATAATTGAGAAGCTAAACTCCATGTTGCAGACGCTTCATTGGGATACTAGCATCCACAAGGGCGCTTTTCTTGTTGGTAAAAAAGGTTTTTGGCGTCCTTGATACACCACCTTCCTTTCTAAAGGTTTTGGTCATTACCTAGTTCCCTAATTTTCCATCAAATAAAAATGTAATTGATTTACATTACGAGAGCAATTTTTTTCCCCACATCTTGTTAGCTGCCAATGAAGTTTTTTTCTCCATCCAAAATGTTTTGTGGAATTTGTTTGAATGCTGATTTTTCTTGCACTGCTTGGAGTTTGTTTTTATAGGTATTGTTTCATGAAACAATGCATGCCTTGCCATGCTATTAATTTGGCATGGTAGTTTCTCTTGGCCAATGCCCATGTTTGTTAAGCTTATATTTAAGCAATACAGCTTCTATCCATATGCATGAAATGCTACAAAAGGTTATACTGTACTGAAAAGTCAGAATATACGTAGTGATAATTTCCATTTTTTAGTTGGTGATTTATGTAACGAGCAAATATAATCTGTTCAGCATGTAAATTGGGCCGAGCATTGGGCATGAATCATCATTCATCATCATAGCATATCATTTATGTATGATGGTTTTGAGTATGTGCTGGATTATTATTGCTTGAATTGTTCAGTTAAGAACTATATGTTTATGTGGACTTCTTGTCATAGAATTGAGAAAATTATATTGCTCATTAACGTAAATTTTTTTACATTTTTCTTTGTGTGTGGGCTGGTGAGGTTATAAACAGGAGAAACCTTAATTCACTTCTGGTTCTCTTAATGTTCTGATGTGAAGATAACTTGTTCTCTTGGACAACGTAATACTGGAAGTGATGAGGGCATCCGACTTTGGAGAGTCTATCATAGGCATGGCCGTCAATCTACGGCCACGATTGCACCGCTTTACTTTTGATTATCATTGTATTAGATTTATTATTGATGTATTAGTTATGAGTTTTATTGTACTTTTCCTTTATGCCCTCACTTGAGGGCCTAGTTATGTGTATGCAAAAAGGGCAAGTTGGTCTTTTATTTTCTTCATTGTATTGGCTATTTAAAGTCTCCTCCTCCTTTAAACAACTAATGAATGATATTATGAAAATTTAAGCAACTTGTTTCTTGTGAGGTTTGTGAGAAAGCTTTGGTGAGAACCCTAGGAGAGGGAATCAGATCACCCATCAGCCGCAAGAAGCGTCCGGGCTTGTGGTTACCTTTCTTTCCCCTCTTCTTCCTCCCCTTCTCCTTCCCCATCCACCACCGGCCGGACTCCCTCCAACCTGCTGGCCAAGCATCCATCCCCTTATCTTTCTCCCTTAAGCCGTTGGCCCTCACAACCCTCTCCCTCATCCTACCAAAATCCCACTTCCCCTCCAAAGCCTAGCTGGCCACCCTTTTTCCACCTCCAAACCGCCCTACCCAAGCCCCGAACCGCCGGCCCCACTTCCTTCCCTCCTTCCTTTTTTTTTCTAAAATTTCTTCTAGAGAAAGAATTGAAGACCTACCTAATTTGAATCATCTTAAATTTGGAAGAATTTCAAATTTCAAATTTCAAATTAATTGAATTTGAATCCTTTCCTAAAATAAGATTGATTTAATTTGTAAACTTTCCAATCGTCTCAAATTTGAAATTAATTAGAGATTTATCTCTAATCTTCTTTCCATATTTAAGATCAGAAAAGATTCTCTAATCCCCCCAATCAAGCCCCTTGCATGGCCGGCCCTCCCCCTCTCTCCAATTCAAATAACTCATGTTAATTCTCTTCCATTAATTCTCCAATCAAACCCAATCAAGGGTTGTCGCCCCCCTCTTCCTCTCTCTCTTGCTCAATTACCTCTTAGGCCGATTAATGCTCCTCAAATCAATCAATCAAATGCCCAAATACTTCCTCCTTTAAGACTGAAATTAATTTCAAATTTCTAAATTTGTTTCCATCCCTTATTCAAATTCAAAATTTCTTGGAATTAAAACTCTCCTTCCCTCCTCCCTATGGTCAACCACTACCCCATCCCCTCCCACTTAAATTAATCACCCAAAACCTGAATTTTTCCCTTCCCAAATTGCTGTTCGGAATTTTGGACGGATTCTATGTGCTGTCCAAAATTTCGAAGCCTTTGAAAACTGTTGTCTAGAATTTTCCAAAGCCAATACCTGCTATCCAGACCTTCGTAGCTGCTGTCCAGTAATTTCAGCAAACTCTTATTGTTGTCCCGCTATCGGGAAAGTTCCCGATTATTGTCCAGAAGCTCCAGTATCTTGACATTAATCTTTCCCACATCCTGACGAAGGTAAACTTTCTCCCAAGTCTTATACTTTCTAAGTTTACCCTTAATTGTGGCATCATAACAATCTTGGAAAACTTTCTCTGCAAGCCAACGTTATTAAGAGTTGAGTGAGCTATCTATTTTCATAGTGACTAATCTCATTGTTAACTTAAAAATTATTAGATGAAAATCTTCCATGTATTTTATGCTTGAGTAATTGATTATTTTGTGATCTTAACCTTTAGTTATGTTCCCTAAACCCTAAGTTAGTTTCACCCCTTTTTTAATTTTATTTCATCATTTAAATCATTACAAGTTTATTAATTAATATTGCTCTCTAGATTAAAGCGTGCAAAATTCTTATTTAACATCACCTAATCATTTCAAGTCCTGCATCAGGAAGTATTAAGGATGTTGCGTTGGAGAAATTTTTTATTAATCTCAACGTAAATATAAGGACTTCAAAGCTCACCTTGATGTAGTAATATGGTTGGTGGCCTGGTGACATTGTTGGGTAGTGTAATCATCGGTGACTTATTCCTGCGATTTTAGTTATTGGCAAGCATTGTTGATGAGTAGTTACGCATTATCGTTAGCAAGCATTGTTGCATGTATTGCCAATGAGCGACAAATGGCCTTGTTAAATGGGAGAGGTCAACCTTGGTGAGATGTGGTATCTGACTATTCTACCCTTACAATGTTGCTTGTAGACTTTGTTGATGTAATTCATGACAGCATTTCCAACAACCACTGATTCAAGGTATGTCCTCACCTTTTGATATTCGCTAACAAGTTGAAAGAGTTGGTCTTTTTTGACCTTGGATGACGACCGAATACAATACTAATGGAAGAAAAGTAGAATGAGCTTATTGCAATACTTGTTGACACAAGTGGGGTCAATATTATTTCTTTATTATGTTTTTCGGACAAGAAGAACCGTCTGGATTTGCTTCATATTTACTGAGCATTTGTTGCTTATTTGCAAATACTCAGTTGTGAGTATTACTGAGTATTTTATAAGTATTTACTGATTTATTATATATTTACTCAGTAAACACGCAGCAATTCGGATGATTCTTCCCGTTCGGACTCTGCACATAATAATTTTTTTTCGTAACTTTATGCAGGAAGCCGAATGGCTGACCAAAGGTGACACCATAAATCATTAATCTGAATCAGGCAAATCCCACAGCAGCTACAACCCCCAACTAAGGGCTTGTTTTCACCTAATCGGAATCAATACACAAAACATTGTAGATGGAACAACTTGACAAGCAACAATCAAGAAAAAAATACAAATGATGAAGGAAATAGGTATAAGTATAACATGGGGAATAATGTACAAGCACAGTATCACATCATTTAGGCAGGGACAAATGAAGCAGAATTGTAACTTAAAATAAAGAGAAATGCGCATCTTCAATCTGTCAAATAGCATGAGAGAAGATGACAGGTATTAAAGAAGTACCTCAACAAATGCCCTTCGATGTTCCTTATACCACAATGCGATCAACGAAAGTAAATAGATATTAGTGGGATATCTATGTCATTATCATCGTCATCCTCACAAGCTACCACAACATCTAGATGTCTCCTGTATGAAGGCAACTCTAACTTGGCCACATCCTGTGCAATCTCCACCACTTTCTTGTCCATTCTATCTTTGTGCCTTGGAAACATACTGTTGTAAAGCAAGGAAGCTCCACAAGAAACGCTGTAGGCATTAAGCCCCTTGTCCTTGAGCCATTGAAGGAGCTCATGAAGGGTTATGTTCCCCTCGATTATCCAACGGTCCCAGACCGTCCAGCTCATGTCCTGATGCTTGATAACCTTGGGCGGTACAGGTTCCGCCATGGAAAACAAGGGAAGGGCAAGGTTCGCAAAGGTGTTGCGGTAGTCTTCCAACTTATGCCCACCGGCGAGGACTTTGTAGAGCTCAAGGCACACCAGACCGGTGGCCATTGCCGTAGAGGTGGCAATGGCAGGGATGATTCTCCCAGCAATGAACTTCGCTTTCAGTTTATCGACTTCGGGAATGCTGTAGTTTCTTGCCCGCATGTTGGCTAGCCCGGCTATGAGGTCCATGTGGAAATTAGTGTCATCATCCTGAGAAAATTTCACAGCATCAAATAACGGTGTTTACAGAATTTTGTAATAAGAACATAGGAATGGGAATAGATGGAGTAATATGCACGACATACAGCTTTCAAGCCCAGGAATGAGGTATTTCAAGCCCAGAATGAGGTATTTGAAGACGTAGTTTTTTTTTTTTAATTTGAATGGTAACGGTAAATACCAACAGAATTAGACCCAAGAATACTCAAATAGGATTATAACTGAATTTTGAAGGAATATCGTGAAACAAGAAAAATATCACTAATGAGTCAAATCTAGCATAAGCAATCATTCATGTAAAGCAGCCATTTCATTTTCAAATCAAAATAATGAAAGCTGAATTCAATACATAATGGAACTTAACAAAAAGCTGTGAATACTGTATTAGGCTTCATTTGGTTTCTCCCGACGTTTTTTTCATTCTTAAACGGAGGTATTACAATGGAGAAGCAAATTTTTTTTTCAATTCTCAAATCGGTGAAAATTTGAAAAGTTATATCAAAAGGCATTTTGAAAAAGTAGCGTAAACAAACATTAAAATACTAACTTTAAAATTTACGGACAACCAAACGAAGCCTTAAACTATTAGCATTAGAACAAGTACCTTTTCAAACTGTACTGGGTTCATATGGAATCCTCGTGGTAGCCTCTTCACACATTCATCCAGTTTTGCAACAAGCTCATTAATGACAGCAGTATCATCAATGGAGGCTGTTGACAAGCTTGTAGCTTTCTCATCAGTAACAATATTTACTCCCTTCTTTGGCTCAAAATCAGGCACTACTACTTTATCGATGGCGTCGGCCAATTTCTTTGGGTTCTTGGCCCATTCAGGAATAGGGATTCCAAATGTCTCTGCTCTTAATATAGAAGCAGCCATGATCAAACTAACTTCACTTGCATCACTAGTTGAGAACTGCAATGGCCGGGGGAAACGCTTTGGTGCAGACCAAAATGGTGTGGAACTGCTTGTAACAGCATCCTCAGGAAAAGTGAATGTTAGTTGCTTCACACGATTGGAGAAGTAATCTTCAAACCTGGCATACAAACATGTAAAAGATGTAGCTTGAAAAAAAATTATTTGCTAGGTGTAAGGGATCTAAGTAATATGAAAAATTGCAAATACAGGGAAAGTGAAACAAACAAATTCTGCTTAGATCTTCTTTACTAAAATTCAATACAGAAACAATCAGCACGGTATTGCTGTTCTCCCCATCCGTGATTAAATGACATACTGATTTCAAAAAAATGACGCAGGATATGCAGTGAGATTGTAGAATAACAAAAAGGAAATAGAAAGAAATAAAAGAAAATGATGTCAAAATAGAGAATACTCTAGATATTGATGTTAATTCTTTATTTGATTGACGAATCTACATGATAAGAAAATTAGAAAACCGAAATATGGACAAATTTAACTCGTCATAACAAATTGTTAGAAGGAAATGGGTGCTGTAAAGGAAATAGCCTAACTAAAAGTTCAAACAACCTTTATAGCGTATTTCAAGGTACTCATCATGAAAATAAGAGATAATATTTAAAATATTAATTCCTCATAAATTTGAAGTCAAATGTATAAATAAAGCCATATCAATCAACCAGATGACAAATGGCAGACTGCATCATTTCGCCTTATGAGGAAGAAGCTCTCCTCTAAAGAGCAAGAGTGCTGGTATCTCTTTGAAAGGCCAAAAGGACAGCAATACATCCATTTGAAGAATCATGAAATCTCTTTAAGATAGATATTATCTCCATCTTGTTAGAACATTTGTAAATCTTCAAGATGCTACATAAAGAAGTGTTAGTCATAGAAATAAAATATGCATTGGCTTGCATAAACTGTATCTTCAAAAGCAGCAACAATAAGCATTATATGCTTAAAGGTGTCTTCACTTCATGACCAAATTGCATGGACCAAATTGCATCATTCCAAAGGAGTATAATTATTAATGTGGTAGGAAGTGGATACAATTTCCTCAAAACCAGCAAACAGCAATAAGAAATTAAGAAGAAGACACCGTTTTTTTTTTTTTTTTTTTTTTTTTTTTTTTTTTTTTTTTTTTTTTTTTTGGCAAGATATATGAAAGAAAAAGCAAGATACGGTTGGATTTTTAATTGTAGCGGAAGATCTGGCTCTCCCAAATTCCTAGCAGGCGACTAGAGCCCTCACAATCTAAGAAACTCTAATTTTAGCAAACTCAAAACATAATCTGAAACCACCATATTGTTAGCCTTAAACCCTAATTCCCTCTCAAATTAGCCCGCATTTCCTAGATAATTTTCTCTCATATTGAATTCAAATTATATTTCTTGCCATAAATAATTCCCTCCCAATTTTCATTAAAACTTTCTTAAACAACTCCATCTTGATTCCTTTTATCTTTTTCTAAATAATTCCCTCTTAAATTTTGAATTCAAATTAGATCTCTTATACTAAATAATTTCCTCTTAATTGTAATTAAAAAATTTTCTAAACAATTCTCCTTTGATTAAGAACCTTCCTAAATAATTCCCTCTTGATTTGTCCATCAATACACCCCTTCCAAAATGCCACCTTATCTTCAAGGTGGAACAAAGGAAAACTGTTGTTGAAGCACTGGACTAATAGCACTAGATTGAAATATGGATGGTCACTAGGACAAATGATACCTGCCTCCAGCATCTCCCTGATCAATCTCTGGATTTCTCCCATTTCTAGTACAGTCAACGATTCTCCCACCTCTGATGTTGCTGGTTTGGTTTGACCCTCAAGCAGCTTCTTCATCATCTCCTCCATGATGACAAATTTCTCATCGATCTTCTCATGGATGCTGAAAATTATTTTTCGAAACCTAAAATCTTTATACAAAATCAAATTTCAATTGCTCGATCGTCCTTTTCAACATTTCTACCTTTCTTCCCGCTATAGACACCCAGATCTAGGCTCTGATACCAATTTGATAGGAAGACAATATAATTTTCCTCAAAATCAATGAATGACAATAACAAATTTAGAAGAACATGCCAAAACTTTTTTTTTTGCAAGATATATGAAAGAAAAAGCAAGATAAAGTTGGATCTTCAATTGGAGAGGAAGATTCGGCTCTCCCAAATCCCTAGTAGACGACTAGAGCCCTCACAACCTAAGAAACTATAATTTCAGCAAACTCAAAACATAATCTGAAATCACCCTATTGTTACTTAAATATGCTCCCCTAATTCTCTCAAATTAGCCCCTTTTCCTAAATAATTTTCTCTCATATTTGAATTCAAAATAGTTCTCCCCCCCCTAAATAATTCCCTTCCAATTGTAATTAAAACTTTCTTAAACAATTCTCCCTTGATTCCTCCTCCCTTCCACTAAATAATTCCCTCTTAGATTTTGAATTCAAATTAAATCTCTTGCCCTAAATAATTCCCTCCCAATTGTAATTATAAATTTTCCTAAACAATTCCCCTTTGATTAAGACCTTCCCAAATAGTTCTCTCTTGAGCAGTAAACTTCCTAATTCCCTCCCAATCAAATCGGCATCATAATGTTAAAACTTAAAAGGTAACGTGTACCACCACTGTAATGCCTTTATGTATTTAGTAGGAACAAAAAAATATGTGAGCACAAATCATACGCAAAAGATAGAACAACGGCATCACAACAATTCATTAAAACTTTCCCATCACTATAATGCACTTGCATTCCAACTATATACTTTTCATCTTGTAAAATAAAATTCATATAAAATAATATTTAATGCAAATGCTCAACACACAATATAACAAAATCATGAAATACAAACATAGGGATTATAGCAACTACAGACTATTTGATGAATAAATCATGTAGATAAGGTGAATCAATACAAGATTTAAAATTAAATTCTCTGACTTGTAAGTTTTCATATTCAATTTTAATTTCATATTAAAACTCAAAATTGTTTAATATTCTAATCATTTAAAATAATATACGACAAACAAATATTTATATGTTTTTCTATGCATGTGTTGTGTTTAAATCATCAGAAAAAGGCTCATCTTCACATCTTAAATATTTTAATTAACAGAATATGGCAGTTCATTAATTCTAGCACAAGAGATAATTTTATGATAATACAGAGAGGTTAAATAGCATTTTCCTGGCGCCTTTAGTAGTTTGTGTACCAATGAATTTATCATTTTTATTGTTAAGATTTACAGATGGCAAACACTAAACAACAATTAACATATTAGACCCAAGTGGACCTATCCTATTTTATATAGTTTCCTTTCAACGGGTACGGGTTTATTATGAGCGTCATTTATAGTCATTGATTTAACGAGTCCTATTTCTATCTTAATTTTTAAACGAAGGGTATTCACAAATTTAGATGGTACTTCTCATATATTTTCTTGTAAATCACACCAAGAATTAAAATTTTCAAACAGATTTAAATATTCGTTAATAGTTAAGATTGTCTTCCCACAAATTTATCTATTATTCAACTATTCTACGCTTGATAAGCATGTAGGTATTTGCCTCATAATCTAATTTTCATGTCAAGGAAAGTTCTAACATGATGAAAAACAAAACTATCACATTGGAATTAGCAAGAATCTCTTAGCAACACTTACTAATTCAACTATGGCATATTTAACTCACTCTTCATCACCCATGGAATACTAATCAAAGAGATACTCAAATACCATCAAGGGTTCATTTGGGATAGCTTACTTTTTAGCTTTAATTAATAGAATGTTACCACAATTTTGTTTATTCATAACTTTCTTGCCTTTTTAGGAGCATTTCATAAACAAAACTACTAGAGTGCGACAGCTATAAGAGGGTTGTTCACTATTTTTGGAGATAAATCTATAATATTCATAATTTTAAAAAACTTTATTTTACCCACATGAGTTCCACAAATAATTTTACAAATCGTTGCAATCGTCCCAAACTGACCCTAAGTATTAAAAAAAATACTCGCTTTATTCAAGTGTAAACAAAAGATATGAGAAATATAATCCAAACAATAATGCAATACAACAACATCAAGCATTAATCACACTATATGAGATCAGCTACATGAACCATTTTTCTCCAATGTCCTATTACTTATTAAAGGATTCATGTTATGATTGTTAAAAAAAATTGTAGGCTAGTTATCAACTACCTAACACAATACTTCATTTTTCTCATTCAGGGCTTAGGACCTGGCAAAGACATTCTTTCAAAATAATAAGCAATGATTGAATTAATTTAAGAGAATGAAATTTTAAAAAAATAAAAAATCACCAAAATAATTTAAAAAACTTGTTGTGTCAAATTTCATCAAAATCATGAATTAAGTGAGAAAAAGAATTTGCCAAAGTAAAGAAGATTTAAGCCTTCCTTCAAAATTAATAAACTGTAATTGCATTACACTTTAAGGAATCACATATCCAACATACGCATAAGATTGAAATTGGAATAAAGGAATTTGTTGAATCAAAAGTTCAACTTATTCATTTATGGGCTTAATCTTTAGATCTGTAAATATAAATGGGAAAAACTTAGCCTGATTTGGTTCAAGTTAAATTGAAATTTGATCCTCAAGTGCAACAGAATTGCAAAATATCCAAAAAATTTAATAATTCCACTGAAAAACAAAGCAAAAGGTGAGCATCATTATTTTATACAAGAAATCATAACCTATGATAGACAACCTGCAAGTTGGGGAAATATATAAGAGTCGTCACAGCCATGCTGAAGATAGCGTATATGAAAAGGATAGTGATAGTTCAAATGTCACAGTACCAAACCACCATACTACGAATAGAGCATAAGTGTATAACCAAGTTACCAGCCATATAAAATCCAAAAATAGTCAAATCTGCTAATATATATATTAATCAATATTTAACATGAAATTTTTAATGCACAGGGGAATCAAATTAATAAAAGCACATTATTCTTAAAAAAATTATTATCACAAGCATATCTAAATTAATAAGATAACTACATAAAACTTATACATATGATTTATTTATCAAACATTTCTAATGAATATAAATATATATCTCCATCAAAGTTGTTCAATCTGAGCCAATTCGACCACATGAATTTTAATATTTGATATTTATCAAGCCAATCATGACATAAATCTCTTATAAAATAATACACGAGTGCTAAGAATCAAGCCTGTCACGTTAGTAAGAAGATATCTTTGAAATCCGCCATCAATAATAGACAAAATCTCATCATCTAAGATGACTTCAAGAAAAAAACTTTACAAGATTATCTGACATAGGGTTAGATGATAAGTAATAAGGAGGAGATGAAGATATAAGAAATCTAAGCCTTTCTCTCCTTTTTAATTTCTTAAAGATTAATAAAGGAAATCTTTTTGAACTTAATGCACCATTATTTAATCACCATGTTTAAACACTATGCACCTTTTCTTCAAGTCAACAAAATATGGAGCAAGCAATAAAAATGATACATGCTTGTATACATCCTAAAAGATGGTATTAATAACCAAAAACATTCTTAGAAAAATAGATGATAAGGAAATTTAAAATGTGCAAACCACAAAATGATATTTATATATGGACAAACAGCTGTTTTAAAAAATCAAATTTAGAATTGCTAGATTAATAAATTTAGTTTCTTTTAGGACATTCATTACTAAAAAGTTTCATGAAATATTGGGGCTACATAATCTTCATAGATTTTTTCTTTATATTTCATATAAACAGGTATACAACTCATCTAAGAACCAAAAATAAATTCAACATCAATTTGACCATCAGTGATAGGGCTGCAAAAGAATTAGGTTAAGCTGAGCCGGTGGCTATTCAAACTCAAGCTTGTTTTACCCAAAACCTGCTCATTTTTTGCTCGAGCTCGATTCAAGCTTTTATGATAATACTCAAGCTTGGTTTGTTTAAATCCGTATTTGTTTGAGTTTGATTTGATCTCGAATTGAGCTTGATTTGTTTTTTACTTATTGAGCTACTCATTTAGAATGATAAATAAATTTTATCAAGCCAAGTTTGTTAAGCTTAAAATATTAAGTTATATTTTAACAATTTTTTTTTAAAACATGATTTAGTTTTATTAAATATTTTTTTAAAAAAATTATCTTCATTTAGAAGTATGCAGGCAAATTCAAAGTGTATATATGGCTTCCAACTCACACAGCATGACTTCATGCTAGTGGCTTATGCTTTGTATTATATAAACACTACTAATTGAAGACTCTCCTATACTGTCAGACAAAAAAAGGTTGTGTAAACGCTAGATGAGGACTTGGGATGCAAAATTTGACTATAACAATTGGGTTGCTTGAATGGATATTATAAAAGTTAAGAATATGATTTTTTTTTTAACTATAAACTTTATATTTAACCATAAACTATGTTCTTATTATAACATATATTTATATCATATAATTTTCTTAGTTTTTTAATATTTTAATATGCAGATATTTGTATTTATAATACACACATACTTAAATAAGCAATTAATAATACGCACGGTTCATTTGCATCTCTAATTAATGATAAAAATAATATCACCAAATAATTCATCAAAAGTTATATTTGCAGATAACTTATTTGATTCGTCAACTATAGTTAACATGATGAGTTCAAATTCACACCTGGGTGTGGAGCTCCATTCGAAATTCAAGTTTAGAAATAACTTCATACTCAATTTTGCTTTCAATCTTCAAATTTTAACTGTTGTGCAATAGTAGTTCAAGTTCATGAATATGATCAAACGTAGCCATGTAGGTATAGATTCAGTTTCAATAAACGTATATATACATTTATATTCTAATTGTA